TGGGGGGGGGGGGGGGGGGGAGAATTAAAAATTCGATTAAATGCTTTTAGGACTTTTTTTAAATGAAAGTTTACAGAAATTATATAGATATATATTTTTTATAAATTTATTTTAAGAAATGTTTTAAGGTGACTGGTGTAAAGAGGGAGAGTGATGAGATGAGCGATGAGATACCGGCGAGGACGACAACATCACGACACGAAGCGTCGGGGATGGACGACGGGGGGGAAATGATCTAACTTAGGGAAAGCTGGCGGGGAGGGTGAAGGTCACGCACGCACACGCACGCACTGGAGAGAACGCGGAACACGAGGTCGAAACTCACTTCCTTCATGTTCTTGGGAATCCTTGGATCTCGAGAGCTGTCGGAGGGGGGAGTCGCTCAGCGGGGCATGCTGCACGCGCGAGCGTCGAGGGAGCACTGGTGGATGGGAGTCGGATGGAGGGGAGTCCGGCGGGGGGGAGTCCCGTTAACCCGGTCTTAACCAGGTGGAGTCGGGAGATCCTCTCTCTCTCTCGCCTTTATACCGTTACAAAATATCGCGTCACTCCCATCCCGACGATCATCGGCCATTAGGAGGGACTACTCTGTCTCCGCAATTATCTTGGCCTACAGGATAATCGTATGGGATAATCGGAACCTGCTCGCTTCGGTGCACCGTTATCGATGACCCTTCGCGAACTCTCGAAAGGGTGATCGGCCATTTCTCATTTTTCATTTCCCTTTCCAGGATTCTTGGCGGGTTTCGTCTAGTACGTCCTGCAAAAAAATTCCTGGACAAATTGCTAAGGTCGGCCTGGGACCGACGATTGGCCTGGGAATGAGCCCACACGCGCGTGTGAATGACAAGTAACGGGGGTTCGTTGCACGCCCTCGGGGCAAAAATGAAAGAAAAGGGAATTACGACAAGAATCCTTCATTCCGGAATGTATTATTCATGGCAATCAGACGAGTCGATGCGATGGGTCGTCGAGGGGGGTCCGCACGATTTCTCGCCGTTTCCGAGGGGGTCCGGTGTTTCGACCGTGCACGAGAGTGTTTGGACTGGCACGAGGATGTTTCGACTGGCACGAGGATGTTTCGACTGGCACGAGGATGTTTACCTCGGTCGGTGTCACCGTTCCTTTGTCTCGGAGGGGAAGGAAAGAATGAAACAGTCCTCTGAAGCGGAGAGAAGAAAATGAAAAGTCGCAACGAAGAGTTCCAGATGCGACGGTAAAAGCGTCACATGCGACGGGAAAAGTGTCACATGTGATTGCAGGTCGCGTCCTTCTCGATCGTCAGCGTGATGGACGAGATGGAACGGCGCACCTTCACGATCCCGGAGGCATCCGGCGACTTCGAGGGGCGGTCTCCGGAGGAGGGCAGGTCGCCGGGGTAGGGCAGGTCGTCTGGGGAGAGCAAGGCCGGGCTGCTCGAGCTGCGGTCGTTGACCACGCACACCGAGCCTGAGCGGGACCGCGAGGAGAAGGGACCCTGCATTCGGGTCGTAAGTTCCACTGCCGATCCTGCGAAATGAAATCATCCAAGGGAAATCGGTGACGTGAAATCTCTTGGGAATGTTCAGGTAAAATGCATGAAAATTTCTCAGTGCTAACTATCTGTAAATGAAAGTTTGCCTATCGACTGAAATTTCAAGTCTCCGTGAAGTCAGCCTGTGATCTTTCCTTTAATTAAAAAAAATATATATATGCAAAAAATACTACTGTCAAACGAGAAAATAATTTTTATCTGAAGAATAAAAATTCAGACCGGTGCTGGCCATGATGGACAAGAGATTGCCCGCCATGTTGGATGGGCCGTATGGTCCAGGATCGCAATCCTCCCAAGCGGTGCTCGGATAAGCCGGCTCGGCGTGCTTCATCAGGTCCATCCCTGAAACGCCCGATAGACCTCATTCGCGGCCGATCGCCACTCGCATCCATACGGAGGATGGAGGACTCTCGCTTACCTTGGATTTCCATTTCCCTCGAGACGCGGAGGATCCCGAGTTTCTTGAGGATTCCGAAGAGGGCGAGGCAGAGAGAGGCTGACCAGCCGGAGATGGCCAATGCTCCTACCAGGTTCCATTCCAACACCTGAAAAAAAAGTTGCATTGTGAAACGTGACGAAGAAAGAATCGAGTCTTGAAGTGACCTCGGGGGAGCTTTTAAGGACGTTTGTGTATGCGTGGACGGGATTTCCAGAGTTCAAGAGTCACTTTGATCTCAGGGGCGGCGCCAGCGCATAAAAAAAAATTCATTAAAAAAATGGATTGAAAAAATTCTTCTTCGACCAGATTCGATCGGATCGAGAATCTCGAGTGGATTTCGTATTCATTTAAATTCGGAGATGCCAGAGAGAAAGAAAAGCCTTTGTGTTTCGTCCAGGACGGATCACCCTCGTTCCCTCTTCGGGAGAGGTTAAAGTGGCACGGACGTAACGGAACGAGAAAGGCCCTCGATCGAGAAATGCAAACAGTCCGTTTGACCCGGGTGCATCCGGAATGAAGCGATCCATCCGTCATCGCCTCGGCGGGGGGTCGGAAAGTGAGAGAAATCGAGGCATTTCGGGACGGGCGTTGAAAGCCCTTCGATCCCGGGTCCGAGTGCGACGGTGGGTGAGGCCTCCGTCGCCCGTGGGATGGCATGAGTCAGCTGATTTGCGTCTCGGCCTTTCGAGGGTCGGCTGTCCCTTCCCAGGCACTCTGCCAGGTGGAGGATCGGGGAGGGGCGAGGGGGCAAGGAGGGTAATTTGGGGCAAGTTTTTTTTACATTTGAGGTCGTTTACGCTTGTTTTGTGAGTGGTGATGGATCTGGGGGAATTCGAACCGGTTGGCATGCAGTGGGGAACCCGGCTGGGGGCCTTCGGGGGAGTTTCTGTTTCAAGAGGGAATATTTTCCTTTTCAAGTTATGGGAGAAGTCAGTCGAGAAATCCGTTTCTAACTCGAGACGGACTTGAATCTCGATAATGAATTCGTTTCGCTCATCCCTTTAACTTTTTTATTTCCTTAAAAATGCTCTAACTAGTTATGTCATTCCGTTTTCATCATTCCTCTCCCCCGAAAAAACGCAACCTCGAGCCAATTTCTCGGGTCGTCGGAGAGACCCCACATCCGCGCCCCACTTCCCCCCTTTTCCATTCAGCGGACTCACCGCGGCAGAGTTCCTGGAGGGATTGAAGACGATGCCGCCTTCCATGAAGAAGGCGACGGCGACGATCCCGAAGAGTCCGCCCCCAAAGTGAACAGGGAACGCGTCCAGAGGGTCATCGACTGCACCCACGTTCGCATTCCCGGACAAATAAACTTACATAATAAATACATATAATAAAAAAACAAACAAATATAAATTCGTAACATTCATCATCAAGTCAGTGCACGGTGAGTAAGAATCGTATTTCTCTGACCGTCGGGAGCCAATTGCTTTCGCTTCGCAATTAGTCATTCCTGCATCTATTGTCTGGCAATGGAAAAATTGATGGAATTTATTAATATTAATTGTACCTTTTTAATTTGTCATTCTCATGCAACGTACCAAAAAAAAAATATTTTTTTTTTTTCCATTCCAGCCGCATACTTCCCGAGACCCCAGCCCACAACTCATCCGACAACGACCAATCCAGAAGAGCATGAAATTCCGACCTTTGAGCCTGAGGAGGAGGAAGTGAAGGCAGAGGAAGGTGAATCCGGCCCCCACGCCGACGACGAGGGCCGCCCATGAAGGGAAGACGTCGCTCCCCGCGCACACGCCCACCTGCGAGGCAATCGTGGCCCATCGACGTCAGACCAAGGAACGCATTTGAATAAATAGCAGATAGAGTCGTGGCGCTTGGGGCGAGCCTAAGTGCGTTCAGCGCATTGCAGTAAATCACGAAGCAGGCCTGGAAATTTCGTCATGATTGATTATGGGGGCAACCGGGGGGCAAAAGGGGGGGGGGGGGGGGGGGGGGAGCCTGGAAGTCCAAGATCAGAATAAATCTCACTTTGTCTTACTTCTTCGGGGTCCGTAATCGAGAATAAGACATTTTCCAGCGTGGAAAGAAAGCCAACGGTGGTTCGAAGAAATTTATAGTCGTGCCGTTTCGAAAAGAATAATTAGCTGGTGTGGGAGCATCAACGGGCTCATGAATAGGCGTCGGTGGAAGAAATTAAATCCATAAATCTCGGGAAATCCAAAATGTCGTCCTTGCGATGGAATGGTTTCTTTCCGTGTCGGCGTGATCTGCTGCTTGTCTTCGGTTTTCGTTGACCGTTACCTGACTTCCGGTAATGTAATAACATTTAAAATAAATTACGAAGTAAAATATATAATAAAATGTAATTGTATAATATAATAAATTAAAGTATGAAATAAATAATGAAATGAGATTTTTAAATATTATTGTGCGTTAGAGCCAAAGGCAGAATCCCGTATATGATTGATTCCCAGAGGCTCCGTCCGGACAGGTGAGATGGGGTTGGTCTCGACCGGTCGGGCGCTCCATTCGTCACGTACTGACGATCTCCCGAGGGTTCCGCTCGTCCGTGCAAAAAGTGCCGGAATCCACGTGAAAAATGCGCCTGAAGGCAGTCCTCGATGCATCGCCGTGATGTCCGGCTGAATTTTGGTGTCAGCGGTTCCGTGTCCTGCCTCGTAACGCGGAACGAATGTCGTCCTTGGGCACGACACATGGCGTGTTGGCAGTCCTATCATATTCCGCCGGGCATTAATCCCCATCATTTTCCTCATTCGCGAGCGTATGTTACACGTACAAGTCCAGCGAGGGCACCGTTGAGCGTCATGAGGAAGCTCCAGGCGTTGGTAGGCCCGAAGGTCCCAGCGTGGTGGATGACCAGAGCCCCGACTCCGCCTCCGCATGCGCCTAGGAGGGCATTCACTATGGCCCGGCTGATGACTTCACCGTCACCCGACTGACTGATGTGACCCCGGAACCCGGCGTTGAATGCCAGCAAGCCGAACAACAGGATGAATCCGCCCAGGGCCGCCAACTGGTGGAGATGTACCCAATTAAAAATTATAAATAAAATATATAACAAATTACACTAATAAAATGCAATCACGAATGGGACAAAGCCTTTATGACATCCCATTACGGAGTGGATGTCGCCAAGAGCAATCGGATTATAATGGGACGGTTTTTTCCTACCCGTTATTTTTTTTATGGGAACTCCGCCAATTTATTTCAATCGAAATCATCCTCATTATTTTTCACGCTCGGATGGGTAAGACAGATGAGCCCTTTTACTCGGGATTGTAATCAATTCCGACAGCGACGCAAATTATTTGAATAATTGACGTATAAAAATACGCTCTCAACAGCAATTTGCAATTTAAACAGCTATTTAGTGCGATTTCCCTAATGCCTACTCAATTACTACTTATAAAATGATTTAACTCCGTCTTGCCATCGGCAATAAGCTGTAATCGCGGTCGAAAACGCTCGTAAACTCGGGGATATCGAGACGATGCCTGTATTCATTTAGAATTTATTTCCATTTTTGAATTTGAATGTCCGCTAATGTTACTGGCAAACGGCACATGGCAAAATTACCGACAAACGGGAAAGGGCAAAGTTAATGGTGAAAAATCATCGTTCGTTGATTTCTCCTTTCGTCGAGTCAAAAGTTAGGGACTCCGGTTGGTTCCGTCCGGGCGAGGCCGTGCCGTCAGAGGGTTGGGAAAGCGTTGCTGGAACAGATGATTTTCCGCTCTGGTTTTTTTCTTTTTAACTTGCAAATTTTTTTTGCCATCGTGTCGCATTTTTTTTCGAGATCGAAGTGAGAGGAGGAAACCCGCGTGGAAAAGCATTGACCTCGCTCGTCGCACAAATGCTTCGTTTTCGCGTGAGAACCGAAAACCGCGAGGGTTTCTCAAGGCCGGTGAAAACGGAACGGAGCAGCAACACGGGAAGTTCATGGGAAACTCATCGCGTCTCTATAAAAATTAACATGCAAAAAAGGCTGCGACACAGACGGGGACGGAATGGCCTCGAATGTCATGTGGTTCGCCGGTCTTCTTATGGAACCGTCCGATGCGAGGACCCATGAGGACAGTACCGACAAGGGCGCACATGCCACCCAGCATGTGCACCACGCCTCCCCCGGCGTAATCCTTGAATGCCGTCCTCTTTAACCATCCCTCCGGGTGCCACGTCCAATGGGAAGCCACTGGGTAGATGAACCCTGAGTAGGAGAATCGGTAACGAATCGAAAGCCGTGAAAATCTCCACGATCAAAATACATATGAACCAGACTGTTCTTCAATCGATCATATATAATTATCATGGTATGGTACACTTGAAAAAAAAGGTATAATCTCAACAGATCCATGTGGCCTAAATGAACAGGTTCCTCTCGATCGACCCTTTCCCGCGCAAAGTACAGCGAACAGAGCAGGTAATTCTTGTTTTCGGGTGCGTGAAGATTTGACTCCAGGGAGTGCCATATGGGAGTGCCGTAGAATCTTAGGTGTGTCGGTCCTGCTGCCACCGACACGCAGTAATCCAAGAAGAGCTTAATCTATCATGCACCCTACGTCGGGAGACAGGGAAGAAGAGCCACTTCTTTCCCCAACGGTTGCCTATCCCATAAAGCCCGAGGAGCTGATGTGTGGCCACGTTCACTTCAGAAAGCGCGAGGTTATGGGCTTGGCGATGGGGGTCCTCCCGCAAGACGGAATGGAGTCGACCGCTTCGCTTCGTCTTGCCGGCGACACTTCAATCTTCGTGGCGGCACGCGTAAAACGCTAGTACCGTCGTGATTCTTAAAGCAAAATCTAAGAAAAAAGAATTTTAATACCGATCTTGCGCTGAGCTCGATCCCAATATATCTTGACCGTCAAGAAAAATCCGATGCATTCTATCCTCCGCAAATTCTTGGCATTTCTGCAAGAGACTTCACGTCTAAGCCTAGCCCGACGCTTTCGGGGGGGTCGGCTCGAAACGACAGCCCCAAACGACACGAAGATACACGGAATTCGTTTCTGCACGGACGACTTGACAGACGTGGGAAGGAATTCATCCGTTCGATCCTTTTCGTGCTTGTTTCTGTTTTTCTACCCCGTGGGATCCGGTCCGGTTCGCAACGGGAGAGCCAGTACGCGAAAAATTTCCCACGCTACAATTGCCATTGCACGGTTTCGGGTACGGTACGCTTGGGGTGCGAAGAGATTTAATCTTTATCTGAATTCCGCTTCCCCCCAGAAAGTTTAATTGATTACATGACAAATAATTATTTACAGTTTAACCGATTTGTTGATACTTAATTGACTGAAATTTAATTTATAATTAATATTTGATTGTGCACTGAGCCCAGACAAAATCCATTGCTTTCTTCGTCCCCAAAATTTGGCAGAGTAAAAAAATTTACGATATTCAGAAAAAAAGGCAAACTTTTCAATATTACAAAACTGCTGAGGGATTTTAAGTGTTTGGATGCATGAACACTGACCTGTGATGACGAAAGTATAGACGAGATAAGCATAGAAATTGCATCTCTCTGCCATGGAGCCACAGACGAGGGTGGAGGCGGTGGCGGCATGGACGAAGTCGAAGAACCAGTGACCGTACTCCTTTACGGGTAAGTTGTTGTTGGCCCAGAAGTTGTAGCTGAGGAAAAAGTTCCCGTCGCTACCGAAGGCCAGAGGAAATCCGATCAGCCAGTACGCGATTCCGCCTATCACTAAAAAAAAAAATTGTTTCTTAAGCTGACTGAATAATGTGATTCGGAATCATTCAGTCTCGAATGGCGGCCCTCCAAAATTGTTATAAATTTCTTCACCTTGTCAACTTGGCTGGGGTGAGTGGGGGAGGGTGGGTGGGTGGGTGTCTGGGCAAGTCTCTCGGGTTCAACCTATCTCATTGAAATTTTTGAGAAGACAACACGCTCATGTTGGAGGTAAATTTCCCGGCGATTTCTCGTATGGTGTTCCATCTGGAAGCGCGTAAGGTTGAAACTTTTTTGCGGTCATATGTGCAAATATGCATGCTTTATGTGGTAAAAATTCGTTTTTTCGCCCGATTTTTGCCCAAAACAGAGCATATCTTGTAACTTGCGTCTGTGTATCATACTATTTTCTTCACAATCAAGGCGATAGTAGTTTGTTAACAGACGATTTCTCAATGCTTTAGTCATCGAAAATGTTAATTTTAAACGGTTTTCTTCAACAAAAGATATTGGGTAGACTGACAAAACCCAGAGACGAAGAGACCTCCTTGCATGAAGAAAGGAAAGCAGACTTACACATGTCGAGGAGATTCTTGATGAGGATGTTCACCGTGTTCTTGGATCTGACGGCGCCGGCTTCCATGAATGCGAAACCCGCTTGCATGACTGGAAAAGGAAGACAAAAGGATGACACGAGCGATCCTCCCGCAGACAGAAGGGATGTCACCTACAGAAGATGATGATGGACATGGTGTGGAGGTACAGATCGTCGATGGAGTGCTTGAGGGAAGCCAACTCGTGGCCTCCCGTGTCCCCCGCGTCTTCCCCCATCTCTCCAGCATCTAAATAACTCCCAGAATCGGGAAATTATATATTTTTTACTTTATCATCCAATAATGTTTTCGGAATGGTCTTTTACCGTACAAATTCCGTATGACACGACTCTCACGCCCACACTATCGTTTGAAATTCAAAACACTCCCTGTGCAAATAGGTGCAAACATCCCTCTTCAAATATAAATACTCCCTTTGCAAATATCCCTCCATTCGCAAAGTTCTCCGACTCCACAAGGTTTCGTACGTTGCATTCTAAGTACTTATGGAGATCCCGAAGTACTCGGATCTTCTCGCGAATGAACTCGTCCCATTCCGGATGTGCATCGCTTTGGACTTGGAAGTGCTGCCTTCCTTGGACTGCCCAGTACTGATAAGTATTTTTGGTGAAATGCCAGGGGTTGATCCGAGAGAAAGAGGGATATGCGGACTCCTCTCAGGATAAGGTCATACTAACGTAGTTAGTTCGAAGAAACTGCGATCGACTTTAAAAGTACTGAGAATACTTGCGCTTGGAAAGTCAAATGACCGATCCAGAGCGAAAAACCACTTAACCGATTTCTACCGTTAGCCGATGGATCGCGCTTGGGGAAGGTGCATTTTGAAACTTTAAGTACTGCGCTGTTCGTTCTCGCTGGATAAGTACTTCTCATTAGGGCAGTTCCGAAGTTACTGTCGTAACACCAGACACAAAATGAAATCATGTATGATGTAATACATTAAAGATGGTTTGGTCCAGAAATTCTACTTCGACAGTGTCTCATACCTGTACCTATTCCGGTCAAAATTTTCTCATTCCTCCCATGGATGAAAAAAAGGCCATCATGTCGTGTTACTGACGTAACAGGTTAGACAGAGGTTTTCGTTCTGCTGCTTCCCTTCCAAATTTCGTCCGATTTGGCTTGACTTGAAGCTTCCATATTTTTTTTTATTTAGAAAAAAAGGCAGAGACCTTTCTTCTTGCCCAATGGTATTTTCTGTTGCTCAAAAATGAATCGGCTAGGAGAGTTTTCCAGCTTTACTGGCGTAACATATTAGGCAAAAAGCTCACCAAGCAAGTGTTAAATTCATTCAAATGGAATGGTGCTGGAGTAATGAAAAACCATCCCACTTCAGGTGGTCAGTGTTTAATGGAGATCATTTGGTGCAAGTTCAGTACACATACAGTGCTGGAAACGTAAGCTGGATGACAGTTTCTTAAATCAGTTGTTTTTTTTTACCACTTTTGTGGTAAAAAAAAACTGATTTACACTCTGGAACTGCCCAGTACTTATCATTTGAGAGTGGTAACAGTCGTACATGTTTGACGTGAACTCCGAGCCGAGTGAACTCTCCGTGCCTCCTTCCGGCTCCTCCGCCGTGCCGTCTCGGATGATGGGGAGGTTTGCGGGGCAAATATTGTCCTCGTGCAGGCTATGGAGGCCACTCCGCGACTGTCGGGACGAAGGAAGGTCGACGTGTCGCTCTCCGTGTCGAGAGGTCGCGATGCCGTCACGTGTGCCGTGAGGGACTGACGTCACAAATTTAAATTTTTTCTGAATTGAAATTTCGAGAACTTCGAGACAGACTATAAAAATGTCTGCACGAAGCGATCGCTTGGCCAATTTTCAGTGCAAAATTTGCGGCGCCATTCCTCAGGAGTAACGAAAAAAAAGCAAGTTAACGTCTTCTGAATTGGTTGAGCAATAGTGGGAATTCTTTGAAAAAAAATTTAAAAAATGAATACGCTTTGCAGGAAGTCAAGGTCATTCACATTTATCAGATTAATTTTCTTGTTTCTGAGCAGCTGTTTTCCCGAGATGTCAAATATAGTGTGCAAAGTCATCAAAGGTCAAAACCTTGCAACCCCTTCGGAAACCAAGAGGGAGGGCCAACGCAAAAAAAATGGCAGAGGCTCGTTTCCCCAGCGAGAGCGTGCCAAATTTCATCCGCATGAATCCCGAATCTTTTTCCAAAATCGAGACGGCTGAGATTTCTGTTTTTTATTTATTTGAATAGTTCAAATGAACTTGGTGAGTGACTGAATATCGCTTCGCTGTATTTAGTGTCATGTAATGGCATGTAGTCATGTAGTGTCATGTAATGTAATAATAGCTATATATAAAATACTATATATAATAGTTATATAATAGTTGCTTAAATATGTTTTCTGCATTGTTCATTTTCCTTGTCCATTTTTTTACCTCAGAAAATGAAGAAACTAGCCGGAGGCCTACACAGAAGAGCCTGGAAATAAGGAGAATCGCCCGGAAATCCTTCAACTGTTGATGGCTTTGGGAGAGGATTTAAAGGGATTTAAAAGGCTGCGTGAGTCGGTCGGCGCGGTGATTTCATTTCCCGATCGTGGGGCGCGTCGGGTCGCGTTTCCGGGCGTGTTCGCACGTCGGGACGCGCTTTCGGGCGTGTTCGCATGGCGGAGACGTGTCATCCTGCCCGTAAGTCAGATCGATTCGTTGCCTGGCGGAGTCCGCGTCGTTACGGTCTTAGCGCGCGACCCGTGAGATCCGTTTTGACACGCGTGGGTGGGATTGGATGGGAAGTGATCGCGAAATTCCAGAAGCAGGAGGTCTGATGTCTTTGATAGTCGACGTCGAGAATGCCTTAAAAAGGACTTACAATTAGGTCCTAAAAGAAGGCCTCAAAAGGATTCCAAAAGAAGACCTAAGAAGAAGGCCTTAGAAAATACTCTTAGCTTCGAGACACTTACACGTCTGGAGACTGAAACACGACGGCACTCCTTTCACGCGGGAGAATCGCCGTTCCAGAGCGAGGGAAACGTCACCGATGGAGAAGTTAAGGGATTTCCGCGTCGGAATATATATGGTGGGCTGTCCCGTACCAAAAATATTTGCAGATGCTTGTCTGGGGCGCGATGCATTTTTCAGTCGAGTTCCCTCGAGGAATTCGTGGAAAGAAAACCGGACATCAAGATGAACCTCTTCGCGATGGACTTTTCCAAGTCAAATCCGAGCGAGCGAAGGTTAAGGGCGAGAGGAAATTCAAATCCGAACAGATGTGCATTCGGGACGCGTGACGCGTATATCAGGCGACCTCCCCTTTTTTGGGGGTTCCACGCGCGGTAGGAGGAGATCTTCGTGTAAAACAGCTGATGGAACGGATTGCGGCCGGGAAGAAATGTTAGACGGGATAAGGGGTTGGAGAGAGTGGTCGTAGGTGGGTATTTCACCCACCCTTTCTTCAATTTTTTATCGTTAATTGCCGGGATAAAAATATGATGGATGGATGTTTTAGATGCGGTGATTCCAATAACGCATCTAATGATGAACCGAAATGAGCTTCGATTTCTTCCAAGTTTCGGCCTTTCTCAATAGCAGCTCTGGCATCCTCCAGCGGGGGCATCCTCCGGGGCCACGCTGGAGGATGCCTCCAGCGCATTCCGAGTCTCCGCGCGGGAAGGGAATGACCGTTTGCGGGACTCGAGCCGAAAGCGATTCGCATTGCACGCGATGGTGTTAAGACGTTTGGGTGAAGCTAATGCTATGGCATCATGTCGATCTCTGGTTATTGATGGTTGTCAATCTCTGTTAGCAAACGAGGGGTTAGGACGTTTCAATCGGGGCAACTCTCAGCCGCTTGTCCGGAAATGTTCCGTCGATTTTTTGGGGTGAAATTTTGATAAGGGGTCAGAAGTCGCTTGGCATATATAATTTGGCCCCATTTGGCCCCATTTGGTCCCATTTGGAGTGGACAATCAGACATTGCCTCCCCTTCTGATATAGCGACCGGGGGGGAGTCATGATGTTGCAATAAAGGCTTGTCCATGCCGGCAGTTCTCGATGAAATAATTGCTACTGAAGTGGGTGACCTCAAAAAAGGGAGGAAGAAAAGTCGCCGATCATGGAAGAGAATCGCGAATGAAAGGTGTGAAATTTTGGAAAATTCAAGATGTTTTTCTCATTCCGAATTTTGTTGGAATTGGTGATTGCAGATCCAGCAAATATTGCCAATTGGTACAAATTAGAGCTTTGCTGGAGGCAATTTCCACGAATTTTTTTTTGTGCCCCATGCCTCCACCTCACAAGAATAAAAGTTTTTTTTTTCGCCCTGCTCTAAATTTTCGTGACTGGAGATTCCCGGATTTTCTCAGCCTTCAAGCATTTCGCCTTGACCCGTGAGCATTCGGGCCGAAACGGACGGCGTCCAAAAGATTTGAATTCGTCCCGTTATCCGATTGTATGCGATTTCGGCTCGTGGCTTGCATGTTTATCGACATGAAAAAAGCCACCACCTCCATTGCACCTGCTTGCATGAATCATCGTCTGTATTCCCATGTCTTACTAGAAGAAATTAATGAATTCGTCCGTGCATATTCCGATGGTAACATCAGGACAGTGAGCGCTAAACTTGCCAGAAGGGACATTTTTTGCCCCCCCCCCCCTTCCCAGGCTCGTGTCACCTATTTGGATCATTTGAGTTGTTCTCATGCACAATTTAGAAAATTATGGCATTTTTTGGGCTTTATTCTTCAAATGCAGGGTGGAACATGGGAATGCACGAAACCACTTGAGTGCGAGTTCGGAACCAGGCCTCCTCCTCCTCCTCCTGGCCCTAGATCAGGCAAGATTGACCTTGCGTGATCTTACGGGGGTGGACGAATCACTCCAGAATCCACGAAGGCAACACCCAGGCTCAGACAGGCTCAGACAGGCTCAAACATTCGCCGATTCGTAGTTGAAACTGGTGCCTGTCTGACATACCGATAGACTCCAGAGACATCCATCTCAGTCAAGTGACAGACAAATTTGTCATTTAGCATGGAAGCGAATCCCAGTGACGACCTTCACCAGTTCGTGACCTCCACTTTAGATGTCACTGGTGTCGCTCGGGGTCACTTTGATGATGGAGATTCCCTCCGCTCGCCTCTAAATGGAAAGGCGGCTGGAGTTTCTTTCTCGCATTGAGTGGTGTGATGGATTCACCAGTGCGTTTTTCGATTGCATGGGATTAGATGATGGTCCTGATGCGACGAAATGATGGTCCTGATGCGACGAGATGATGGTCCTGATGCGACGAAATGATGGCCCTGATGCGATGAGATGATGGCCTTGATGCGACGAGATGATGGCCTTGATGTGTGTGGGACCCGGCACGAAGACACTAACGACGTGCGACCCTCGACGCCATTCCTATTCATCGCCGGTTTCCTACCTCGTTAGCGACGCTTGTCTCCGAAACTGTGAGGGACGGAATCCACCTGCTTCCATTGCTTACCAAAAAAAGGTAAGATGTGAATCTTACCTTTTTTTCTTCCAGGCGTAATTACTCTGCATCCAATGAAATACGGCCGAGATAAAAAATAAATAAATCCGATATTGCGCCTTGGGCACGCACACACGCACGTGTTTGAATGACGCGTAACGGACCCCAGCGAATGCCTCCGAGGGAAGACGGAAGAAGGCCCGTTGAAATACCGCAGGAATCGTTTATTCAGAGAATGCATTATTCACGGGCTGTCGAGAAGGAGCTAATGATGAAAGATACCCGGCGTTCACCCGCAGGAGGTCGGCTCCACTTTCGTCGAAAGGCGCCCAGGCATGACTAGGCAGGATCGCTTCGATCCCTTTAAATTTGTCTTGCAAATTTAAAGGGATCGAAGTTAAATTTCCTCATTTGTCCTTTCGTGGAAGCAGGTAATAAAAGTAATAAAAGTTTCGCACGAGGATAAAGTTACAAAAGGTATGAAGTCAGATGAGGATGTAACGTTATACGAGTTCGAAGGCTGTTGAAATGGAATGATGCAGTAAAAAATGTTTCTAAGTCACATGTGACGAAAAAAGTGTGACATGAGGCCGTGGGGCGGTGTCACCGTCGAGACTAGGGAACGGAGGCGACGGAACCCCGCCGCGGATCGATTCCCGGAGCGTCCGGCGTCTTCGTGGAGACCAAGAGCAAGTTGGGCATGCTCTCGCGGTGAGAGGGGGGGTCGCTTGGGGAGGAGAGGTCGCTCAGAGAGGGGAGGTCGCCGGTGGAGAGCACGACTGGCATGGTCTCCTTGCGAATGCTGGCCAGACACGAGGAGCGAGACGGCCGAGCGAAGGGGCCCTGCATCCGGGTTGCCGAGTCCACTAGAGACCCTGCGTGCGACATCGGCTGCTTTCAATTGGCATTCGGTTGGGCCTTGTGAGCTTATTTTATTGCACATATTTCCCCCGAATATTCGAAATTTTGAATTCCAAGTGTTCGAGAATTTATAGATATTTTCGATTTTCATATTTTTTCGATGTGTATTGTATTATTAATTAGGAAATGCGATGACGAAGTCTCAGTAAGACAAAATTCCTGGGAATGTTCAGGTACTGTAAAGTGCAGATACCTTCAATAGGTGACAAACCAGCTGAAATTCGTGCCGGTGACAGAAATTTCAACTCTCCCCGGACTCTGCAGCGAGCCTACTGTTACTTTTACCTGAAAAATTTTAGATGACAGTACCAACGTGAGGAACAGTCAGGGAAACGAGAAATGCTTAACTCTTGTCCCTAGAGGAAAAAGAGAGACAGACCCTTGTAGCCCATCACGGATAAGAGTTTGCTGGCCATGGTGGAAGTGCCGTATTGCCCGGGATCGCAATCCTCCCAAGCAGTGCTCGGATAAGCCGGCTCGTTGTGCTTCATCAAGTCCATCCCTGAAACGCCCGATAGACCTCATTCTCGACCGATCGCCAATCGCGATGGAGGATGGAGGACTCCCGCTTACCTTGGATTTCCATTTCCCTCGAGACGCGGAGGATCCCGAGTTTCTTGAGGATTCCGAAGAGGACGAGGCAGAGAGAGGCTGACCAGCCGGAGATGGACGCTGCTCCTACCAGGTTCCATCCCAGCACCTAAGTAAATAGCAAACCGTCTTCAGAAATGAAATATACCAATCGTAGTACCGGTACCTCTCCCTCGCGAAACGCGATGAAAATATGGAATTCAGCCTTGTAATAGAGCCCTAATGACATGTGTATGTGCATGAAGATAATTCCATAAATTAGGGTGTCATATGATCTCAGGATCGGCACCAGGCTGAGGTCGGACCTACTCGATATAGGTATTTAAAAATCATCCCCGCATGGAAAGTAATTTGACGCGATTCGATCCGGATGGACAGAAAATCTGATACGATGAATAAATTTCATGCGCTCTTAATTCAGAGATGGGAGAAAGAAAGACGGAGCCGCTTTTGTGCCTCATCACCCTGGCCCGAGGGGGCTGAAGCGTCAAGGACGTAACGGAACGTGCTGGGGATCGAGAGAGACGCAACGCGCCTTTTGACCCGGGTGCATGGGAAGGCAAATATACGGATTCGTCGAGGTCGGAATCCATTCGTCTTCAGTTCTCGCCGGGGGGCGGGAAGGGAAAAAAAAATTGGATGCGTCGAGCACGCTCTCGAGCCTTTAAACGCTTTAATGGGTGATATGCAGCAGTAATGATTGGAGTAAATTACTCTTTGGATCCTTCTATGTTAAGGGCGATGGGACGGTAGAGACCTCCGCCGCGCGTGGGAGGTCGAGAACCAGTCGGCCAAACAGATATGCATGCGAGTGCATGGACGAGATGCCCCAGTCTCCAGGGTGAACTGCCCATGTCCCTCGCCTTCCCCAGCGGTCAATCACGTTTGCCTTCCCTGCAATTCAACTGGGTCGAGGAAGATGAGGGGGAGGGAGATTGCTCGGTTTCTGTTTCAGGCACGAGCGTGCTGCGATGTGATAGGGTCGTTTTGGACGTACTTTGCGGCTGTTGTGCATCCGCGGTGATGCATCGGCGGCGATGTAACTGAAGTGATGCATTGGCAGTGATGCATCTGAGCGGATTATGACTGATCGGATTTGAGTTGGCACGAGGCTTGAAACGGAATCGGGAATCTCTGGGGGCGTTCCGGTTCGGAGATAAGATTTTTCATTCATTATCTTTCATTCATTTGGAAAAATGAGAGAAATTTTCCTTCTATTAAGCCTTTTATGAGCCGATCGTGCTTTGCAGTCGGTTGTTCATTATTGCACGGCCTGGTCCTCGTCCTCAAAGATGTATCCTCAAAGGGAGAACAGAAAGGGAGTTTATTGGGCAATATCTCCGAGAGCATCCGGCCGTACATCAAAGCATATCGGCTCGCTCTAATGCATTTTTTTCCCCTTTTGTCTTTTTTTTTTTTTTTTTCCTCACCGTGGCAGAGTTCCTGGAAGGATCGAAGACAATGCCGCCTTCCATGAAGAAGGCGACGGCGACGATCCCGAAGAGTCCGCCCCCGAAATGAACAGGGAACGCGTCCAAAGGGTCATCAACTGTATACATCACAAAATTGTTTTTCAACTCATTCAACTCATTTATTAAATAAAATTTTACCTTACATTTAATATTTGTATTATTTTCACATCTCCAAGGAAGGAGATATGCCTGGCCACTGGCGCCTTTTGAAACCTCCCCGATGTATTCGTTTTGGAACTATCGATTGCACAGTGGGATACGATGGACCCCAAATGAAACGATCACAATTGCGCACGAATGGAAGGGAAGCGCGAGGAGCCCTGCTTCCCCAGTACACTTCTACAGGGTGAGCCACATATAAAGTTTTCCAACTGATGAATCTCTGCTCCTACAGCAGCTTGTTTCCCGATACTTTTGTGGGGAGATCACGTGTTCCCAAGGGACTTGCGAAATTCCGTCCGAATGTGTTGTGCCGGGGCACGCTCATGAGATATTGTTGAAAATTTTTTAATGATGAAAATGGACAAAAGCCCATGACATACATGTCATGCGTATGACATGTCATGACATGTCACATAGAACATACACTATAAAATTCATTCTGTTGCCTGAACTTTTATTGTGGATTTGATAGGAGCGTCTCCTAGTTGACAGCTGACGAATCGACAGGCATCCATGCAAGAGTCAGCTCCAAGTTCATTCCGATTTTTTTCCCTTTTCCCCTTTGGAGAAGGAAGCAGGCGAGGTACACTTCCTCCGAAGGGACCGACCCCCCCCCCACACTCTATTTTCAATTTCGGATTTTTTTTTTAAAATGGAAAATTGCCTTTTTTGAATTTGAATCCATTTAGAAAAGAATCTTGGGAACATATTAGTAGTCTATGCAAATTGAAACTTTGGGAATATAACTCTTGTAAGAGCAGAAATATAATTTTTTTTTAGTCTTTTCGCCATGCTCTGTACGATGGCCTGCCTCATCAATCGAAGGCCTGCATTGCAGCCTGTGGTGATCATATCACCTGCTGAAGTGGTTACGTCAAGCTGAGGTGATAGACCACCGCGTGCCACCTTGAGTGCCCATTCATTAGAAAGTGAAATCGTGTCATCGGTGGTCCATCCCCTGCCAACTCTGCAGTTGGAAGAACAAAGGTGGCTCACTCTCGATTTGTAATTTCAATGGGGTACGTTAAGCAACAATGTACAATGTACATTAAACTTTAATATTTCTGTTGCTCCGTTTTAGTCATAAATGCACGTCTAAATTTCTTTTACTTATTTCATTTCGCTCATATCACAGCTCCCGTTCATGACTCTAAAACCAGCTGAGAACATTGACACGCCTGATCGAGGGACTCGCCCGACCTTTGAGCCTGAGGAGGAGGAAGTGAAGGCAGAGGAAGGTGAATCCGGCCCCCACGCCGACGACGAGGGCAGCCCACGAGGGGAAGACGTCGCTCCCAGCGCACACGCCCACCTGCGAGGCAATAAAACACGTTTAATGCGGGGTGATCGCGCGACCGGGACTGCATTCTGCGTCGATCTAAGAAGGCCAAGGCGTACGGGGAGGTCGAAAGATTGCCTATTGCCTTTTAATTCTCGACTTGAATGAATACAATTTAAATATCATCCTCACGATAATAACAAAAAATTGTATGGTGGCTATTGCGGTCTTATAGCTGATACGTCATGAGCAACGAGACAAACAGTTTCAATCCCATTAGATATTATTATCTTCAGTGCTGCGGATATGGAGATAGGCATACACGTACGAGTCCAGCCAGGGCACCGTTGAGCGTCATGAGGAAACTCCATGCGTTGGTGGGCCCAAAGGTACCAGCGCGATGGATGACAAGAGCCCCGACCCCGCCTCCACATGCGCCCAGGAGGGCATTAACGAGGGCCCGGCTGATGACTTCACCGTCACCAGACTGACTGATGTGACCCCGGAATCCAGCGTTGAATGCCAGGAAGCCGAACAACAGGATGAATCCGCCCAGTGCCGCCAACTGAATCCGACGATGAAGAGAGAAGTACTCAATAACATATGAGACAGAACAATTATGAGCTCCTATTACATGAGTGGAGAATCTTAAAGACAAGATAATTGGGATGATTGCATTTTCCCGTTATTTTCATGTGACTCCTGACAATTAATTTAAATTATAGTGATTGTTTTATGAGTGAAAATACACAGTACTGCTCTGCTGATTTATTTAAGAGATTAATTGCTGTGCTGAGGGGATGTCCCTGAGCATTATTCATAAACTTAGCATCGCTGGCAATTTCGTCATTTTGCGTAGGAGCAGGGTAATTTAAAAAAAAATATCAATGTAAAAAGTATGTAGTATGATCGACCGTGCAAGAGAGCGAAAGAAGAGTGCACAGACTGGAACTGAGTGGCCTCGAATGTCGTGTGGTTCGCCGGTCTTCCCATGGAATCTTGAAATGCGAGGACCCATGAGGGCAGCACCGACGAGGGCGCACGTTCCACCCAGCATGTGCACCACGCCTCCTCCGGCGTAGTCCTTGAATGCCGTCCTCTTCAGCCACCCTTGTGGGTGCCACGCCCAATGGGAAGCCACCGGGTAGATGAACCCTGCTTGGCAATCAGAGAATCAGATCAGGAGCTATCTTAGACAGCCTTGCCGTCTCATTCGACCAATGGTTCACGAAAATACATTTAATCTAATTTGGCCGCCCTTTCTTAAATAGGTGGAGGTCCGAGGAGTTGAAGAGCCCTGACAGGCATAGGCGGCGATTCACAGGGGCTCAGGGAGCTCGAGCCACCCCAAAAATTTGGCAGAAGAATTAGGAATACTTGGAGTACTGCCTCTGAGCCCCCCCCCCCCCCCCCTCCCAATTTCTCAACAAATCACCGCCAATGCTGAAAGGTCTTCCATTTTTCAAATTAATTTATTGTGATTGTGTTTTTTCTCGGCGAAATACATTAATCTCATAACCAATCATGGTAGCCTTAATCATATTGCATGAATTCTCTTAGTTAACTCGTCCTGGGAGAAAAGCAGAGAATTTAAAGCTTCCTGTAATCTGGTGCCTGGAGCGTCACCTCCTCTACAGAAGTAGGGTTAATACAAGTTCTTTGAGGTCCTCCAGAGCGCGCGTCAGTCGTTGAGTCTACGAATAAGCTACTGACTTTTACTGAATGAGGTTGCCAAGCCACACGGAATGCTATGTGGAACTTGATCTCGTGAGCGTGTTTCCCCTGACGCTTCCGGTACCCGATGCTTCATGAAGAGTTCAAATATTCATTACTCGTGGTCGAATCTTGCGGAATCAATCTGACCGGAAAAAAGAATTCGATTCTCCTTATGTCTATCAAATAAATCCCAAACTCGGATATTTTGAGATATTTCTTTCGCATTTCAGGTGCAGGTCCGAATTTCGTGGACAATGATGAGAATCTTTCCGCCTACAACATATCGGAGGCGGGGAACCGCTTTTCATCCCCCAGACACATGTTTCACCGTTGGCGGGATTGCCTGACAAAGTAGCGACAAGAAAATCGTCCCAGCGACAAGAAAATTGCTCCGTAAAACCTCTCGTGAAGCCATGCCCCGGGGCATCTGTCTGTGCAAGTCGGGTCACCTGCCAGCTTTCAAGTAATACCCCTATGATTTTGGAAGCAATTTGACAAAATTTGTGAGAAAGATTTCATTACTCCTCCAGAGCGAGCGGGATTGATCCTACGAGATCCATGCCAATATTCGACGAATATTGAAATCTTAACAAAATCTCGTTCACTCTGAGTTGGACTTCGCCACGTCTTAAACATTTAGATACCATTCGTTTCAAAGTGAATTTTGACATCAAAACCATTCAGTATTCGGTATTAGCAGGAGCGAATGCCTTGTATTCTGAGATATCTGTCTCAGAATGCAAGACATTCGTCTTAGCATGGACTAAATCCGTATCCGTGATCTTTTTTTTTTTATTGGTTTCTGTCACTGAGCTCCGAGGTATCCTCGTGATCTATTCCTGTCCAAATATGGACGGCTCATACAAATTTTCCATGTTAAACTTCTCTTTGCTCGTTTCAAGTACAGCATGCGATTTCACACTCAGAATTCCGTATCTCTCTTAAGAAGTTAGCTGAAATATTTGATAGTGTCTCTGAATGAAATGTCGGGTATGGACTTTTCCACACATTTCATATTCAATCCATGGAAGCAAATAACGTTTTTGGAATGACACGCGGAGAAGACCCGCAACTTCTTTTTCTGGCTCAAAGCTGGCACAAGGTCCAAAGGCAGAAGGGAAAAGTCTGTGTGGACACCGACCTGTGATAATGAAAGAATATACGAGGTAGGCGTAAAAATTGCATCTTTCCGCCATGGAGCCAGAGACGAGGGTGGAGGCGGTGGCGGCATGGACGAAGTCAAAGAACCAGTGACCGTACTCCTTTACGGGTAAGTTGTTGTTGGCCCAGAAGTTGTAACTGAGGAAAAAGTTCCCCTCGCTACCGAAGGCCAGCGGAAATCCGATCAGCCAGTACGCGATTCCGCCAATCACTAAAAGAAAAAATAGAGTACAAATGGAAAAGAGATAGGAACGTTAGTACTTGATCCATATTGAAGGGCTCCAATCACTGAGAGAGAAGAAATGTGATCAAACAAATTGTCTAGAACCGCTCGAAAGGCTACCATGTCCAATATTCTGCTTTTAGTAGCTACATTAACTGCACGAACGGCTTTCTTTGGAGGAAACCCCAAATTTCAACCACTGCAATCAGTTTCTCGATCTCTTTCTCTTCCGTTTGGAAAATGACAACAAAATGCTTTTGTTTGAATGCTGGAGGAGGAGTGGAGGATAATGGAAGCTTCGTGAAACGAGTGAAGGGCAGGAACCAGGAGATGGAAGCAACAATCAGTAAAATCTCTCTCAGCTCAATAACCTTTGCTTGTTCCTTTTTTTTAAATGCATCCTTTCCACTTGCAAAAACACCGCCGAATCCAAAGTGCTTCCTTTTACGTGTGTCTGTATCATTTCACTTTCTTTGCAAACATGGTTATAACTTTTTTTTTTCAGAAATCAAGTTATCAATACTTCACTTACCTTTCAACGACAGCAGAGACGCAGAGACAGGCATCGAGAGGGCAGAACTGCAAGAGAACTTTTTTTGCTGGAAGAAAGAAGGGAAGGTATAAACTTACACATGTCGAGGAGATTCTTGATGAGGATGTTCACCGTGTTCTTGGATCTGACGGCGCCAGCTTCCATGAACGCGAAGCCCGCCTGCATGACTGGAAAAGGAAGACAAAAAGGATGACACGAGCGATCCTCCCGCAGACAGAAGGGATGTCACCTACAGAAGATGATGATGGACATGGTGAGGAGGTACAGATCGTCGATGGAATGTTTGAGGGAAATCAACTGGAGGTGTTCCGCGTCCCCCTCCTCTTCTATCGTCTCTCCCGCACCTACATTTCGTGAAAAATTCATGGATTTTTAAGGGAGAATGGACTGACCTTTGCCGTGCATATTCCTATACTCTTAACCCAAATTCACGTTCTCGCGTGAATCCAAAGAATTCCCTCTTACAACATTACCGAGTTCCCTAAGTTTCCTAAGCTTATGCTGTGTATCCTAATACCTTTAGATCCTTAAGGTCCATTCCAAGTACTTAAACCTCTCCCAAACTTTTCTGGAAACGTTCAAGTGCCTGTATACGGACTTTCCTTCATGGTGACCGCACTTGCAGCATGACCTACTGTAGATCAAGTACCCGAGAGCCGAAATTTGTTCAGTTATTGTGACTCCAGCGGCGCTGAGAAGTACTTCCGTGGAAACGCTAGAGGTCGATTTGAAGGAAATGGGAGTGTCTCGTCACAGCATGCGGCTCTGCCAGGTCGGAGAACCTACTATTGACTGAATAATAAAAGTACTTAAAAATATCCAGACTTGAAAAATGTGAAGGTTGCTCTAGAGAATAAATCAACCTAACCTATGGACCTTCCGTTTACGGCCTACACAAATGGATACATTTTTGTTTCGTGTGTGTCTCATCACGAAAAAAAAGGTGCGATGGGATCTCGCGGTGGCTCCCGGCTCTGGGGGCGCATGGCGGAGAGATTACTATCATTTGGCACAAAAATTAATGAGGACGGGTTTCGTCGGGTTTGACAGGCTCAACGCAGTATTTTGAAATGCGATAGTCATCTCTGATGCGATGACGCCATTTCTTGCGGTAAAATGAAAGGGAACGGATAGCGAAACAGGTAATAATAACTGGTGGCTCGATAACGAAAACATATAAGAACGGAAGTTAAGCGTCGGGAGAGTCACGAAAGGATGGAAGAGACCTTGATGAGGAATGGCTCGGGGCAGAGAATCGGCAGTCGCCGAAAATTCTACTCGAACTACTATCGAGTTGCAGTCGATGTGAAAGAGTAGAGGAAGGACTGTAGGAATAGGTTTAAAGGGCTTGCACGGCCGTTGCTTTTCTGCGGCGTGTGCAGTCGCGCATCAGACGTGATCGCGATGATCGCAGAGACTGGAGATTTTTTTTTTTTCCTTCCTTTTGCGCGAGGAACCTGACACGATCCATGCTCTTTGAATGCTCGGTTAATGTTGATTTGATTTCGTCCACGATCGGAGAAAGTATGAGAGACGTCAGGGAAATTGATCCTGCAACTCGTGCAGAAACTTATTTTAGGAAGATTTGCTCGCCAAATTCCTCAAAAAGAAAAACTTGAAATCCTAGATCAGGAAAGTTGAAAGGTGGCTCTTCTTTGGTTCAGGACACTTACACATCTTTGGGATACGATGACCCTTGCCGACGTATGTACCACGTATGTACCACGTATGTACCGCGCGGTATTTCCACCGATTCGAGACGAAGGGAACTCGGATGATGATGATGATCACTTTCGATGAATGCTTTTGACGCCGGTCCGGGGCGCGAAAGGGTTTTCGTCTGAGTCCTTAACTGGTTTGCAGGCAGCTATCTGCAGCGACTTACCTGGGGGATAGGGGTTATTTTGAGTTTATCCGCTAGCTCAGGATAAGCCGTTTCGCGGAACGGAAACCGGGGATCAAGATGAACATGTGCGATTTGCGCTTTTGCAAGTCAAATCTGCAGGTGCGAAGGTCGAGAGGAATTTCGAATCCTTCCAGCTACTTGCCGAGAGGGATCGAAGAGCGACAAGGATCTGCTTCGGGGTGGCTCCTCTTTGGCTATGCAGATGCGACGTGAGAATATCTGATTGACTCAGGGTCGCGGGGGAAGGACAGCTAAAGCGAACGAGTCCAAGAGAATGTGAGGGAGGAATGGGTACTGTGGCATGGGCGTTATGGCATGGGGCGCTATGGCGTGGGCCTTGTTGCATAGCTTCTAATGAGGGAAATTACAGTGCGGGGTGCCTCTGTAGCATTAAATGTATTTCGTGGAAAAGAATTGCATTTTTCCTTCGCTCGAGCGAAGGAAAGACCGCGATGGAAACGGGATTCCATTGGATTTCGCAATCATCATCGCGCGGCCCATTCATGCCATGATGATTGCGGTCCGTTCTGAACGCGTCCGAGTGGAACCACCCAGTCAACAATTTTTCATCGGGCCATCGATGGCTTTTCGTCGATGCGTACCTAAACCCTCAGTTGGGCAGCCCGTCTAAGCCGCCTTATGGTTGGTCCTGTTGGCCCTAATAGGCCAACTTTGGTTCATTGTTGGGAAACCGCACATGTCCCAACTCTGAGCCGACTTTTCACAATGATGAAAAGATATAGGAAAAAAAATGCATCTTCAGCGTTATGCATCTTGGAGAGAAAAAAATGCATCCTTTGACCTTCATCTCAGGAGAGCTGAAGGAGCCAGATACAACTTCGATCGTAAGGAGCTGAGAATATATCCCACGTAACATCCCTTTTGGGTGCTTAGGCATTCAGGAGACACGGAAATGCAAGAGTATCAGTCCTCCCGCAGGAAGCCAGGCATATTTTTCACATGAAAATACTTTTCAATGTCTTCGAGTAGGGAGTGAAGGTCGCGTATCTTATCATGGAAAGTAGATCCACGGACATCCAGGCCAGAATCCCCTGGTTTATTCCGGGGCTAGGTTACTTCTTCAGAAAAATATTTCAAAGAATTAAATTGCCTGAGATCTATGCGAGAAACCATCGGGAACCGTGCTTAAGGGACAGGGGACTCATCTCAGTAGAATCCGGAAGTGACTCCCTACTACGACCACTTTGACTCCATCTCACGCCGGTTTTCGGCGAATGATTGGCCGGGCAACTCGCAAGTGCGTGTTGGTCGGCAAATCACTCAACGAAATTAGTCAATTTCCGACGATAAACCTACGAAAATTTTTGACTGGAAACTTCTCGGTCGTCGTGGATTCGTCGTGGCTGCCGATCGCTGCCGGCCGACGAGGTCTGCCGTTTGGATTTTAAAATTGATCTTGAAAGAGAGCAAGGAATCAGTCGGTAGAGATTATTTGATGTTCTTTGAATTTTTCTCTGCTTGGTAGATTGGCGTAGACGCGTTTTTGCCCCGAAGTCAGTACCGAATTATTTGCGATAAATGTTACCATTCTGGAGATTTTGCGGCGATTGGTCTTAATAAAGCCATCAGAATCAGCCCACATCGACAGTTGCCAAAATTATAAATACTAAAATAGTAACTAGAGGTCTCGACCGACAAAAGGGAGGGCAGTCACCCTGTCATGAGGGGCATGAGGGGCATGGGGGATGAGGGGCATCAGGAGGGGGGGGGGATGGGGAAAAGTAATGAAGATGGAGAGTGCGATTAGGCGTGACCTACGGGTGGAAGGTGAGGAATCTGGATATATATACTCATCTTCCCAGCTCGTAATGTTGTGGCAGTTGGTGATTAGAGGGGAGATCGAGCATTGTCTTATAAAAGGTGGGAATGAAGGTGGAAATAAAGGTCTCCCCATCGTCTACGTCGGCCAGGCATTCGGATGAGAAAGTTTTCAGAATTTCGGATTTTAATACCACTCCTGCATGATTCCAGTTATTTTCTATGCTTTGGGTCGTTAGGGATATTCTCTTGGCTCATTTTTGGCTTAGGGCTATCGACCGAGGTGCTAACTCGCTCAAAACAGCCTTCGGTTAGAAGGCCTGCGTTCTTCTGGCCCCCAGTCAAACGAAATTAATTGCAGGTGCGTGAATCCACGGGGCTGCTGAAGGCCGGAAGAGTCATCAGCATCGGTGACTGGATGGCTGGATGTTCGAGTGTGAATATCGATCGGCGATTCCGCGATTACTTCTGCAATGAAAATAATGAGAATCGTCTTGCTTCAGTGCGGTTAGGCTTTTTCCCCCCATTTATTTCCGGCCTTTCCGTTTTCAGTTTCCTTTTCGTTCTACCTCAAAGAGTAGATCCTTGAGAGGGGAAAGGCTTTCGATGGATTCGATGGTGTGCCTGGACTTATGGGGAAATAACGAGGGTAACGGAATTCATGACATGCCCTCAGGGGGAAATGAAGGGACTCACGCTTTAAATACGACAGGAATTTTCATTCATTTTTCATGGGCTGTCAGGACAGTGCATAATGATGAACGGCGTCTTGGTCCATCTGAGGAGGCTGGCAATGCTTGTGGCATTTCTAAGGGGAAATAACTAATCCAGTGAAAACGGTAAATATATATTAATATTCTGTCTCTAGTTCTTTGGCTAGTAAGGAAAGGTGAGGAAAAAAACTTCCTTCAACGATCAAAGAAAAAGTAATAATAAAAAAATTAACTGAGATTTTTTCCGGGAATCGCTCAACTGCAGCAAACTCATTAAAAAATATTTCTTCGTTTTCGGGGCAGAGGGGGACGAGGAGAACCGTCAAACGCTGGTAACGGCAACGCCATCCTCGCCCTTCTGCAATCTCGGAGATTCGGAAATGTCCGACAGGTTGATCCCCATGCTGCAAGAGAGGGCTCTCGAGTGGAACTCGCCCGAGGAGAGGGAGGACAGGGTCGTCACACTCGGGCTGGGACGGAGGGGGAGGCTCGACGACCCGCAGCGGGGCATGGGCCTGCCCGGGAAGGGTCGGTCCAAGGGGGAGGGTCGGTCCATCGACCCTGCGGGCCAAACACGACAGTCACCTCTGTTTCTCCATAAAGTGTGTGGAGGTTGGAAAGGCTTACTCTCGAAGTAGCTGAACATTTTAAGGAAACAGATACTGCCTGAAAATTCTGCTTGACATTTCAGATGAAGGGTCATATATGCAATGCTCGTAATATTCATAATGATTTCCGTAAATTACGTGATGATAAAGAGTAACTACTGATTCCGGAAATAGTGAGTGCAGCGTTGAATATCCTGGTATATATATTTCTATTTGGAAGAGGAGTCAGACCTAAATTAGCGGCAGACATGATTGGCATGCTTGGACATATTGGAAACGCCGAAGGGTCTGGAATCGCAATCCTCCCAAGCCGAACTCGGATAAGCCAGCTCGTTGTGCTTCATTACGTCCTTCCCTGAAACATCAGATGAAAATACGCAGCCGATCGTCACGGGTTTGCTTGGGGGGGGAGGGGGGGAGTCGTTCGTACCTCGAATTTCCGTGTTCCGTGAGACGCGAAGAAATCCGAGTTTCTTGAGGGTTCTAGAGAGGACGAGGAAGAGAGTGCAGGACCAGCTGAAGATGGCGGCTGCTCCCGCTAAATTCCACCCCAGCACCTATTCATCGCACCAATTCACCACCCCAGAGACAAAAAAGTATTTTAAAAAGTAAAGATCGTGGAGAGAGACGAGGGCTTCACGGTTAAATTAAATGTCCCTAAGCATAGCATCAATTGGCATTTACGTTTCATTATTTTTAAAAAATAATTTTAAAAGAAAAAAGTCAATCTAATTCGTATCAAGAGTGAAGGGAGGTCGATTCAACTCGGAAGAATCGAAAGTCAATTACATCAGCTGGAATTTTTTCTCGAATCCGAGATGGAAACGGAAAAGCGCCGTTGCGTGACTGCAAGGATGACTCGCGTTTCCCATGGGAGGGTTCAAGAGAAACCCTTCGAACCTCCCTCGAAGGAAGGTTGAAGCTCGGGGGAGGAACCTGCAGGCTCTCGATGCGATGAGAAATGGATGTCGGAGGTCTTTAAGGAAGCGAGCGAGAGCGCGGGAATGGCGAGGAGGGTCGGACTCCATCGATCTTGGGGATGGATCTCCTCATCATCCTTCCTGATTGAGCTGGATGTTGACGGAGCGAATGAAGCAGTTCCTTGGAGGCTTTACGTAGATGAGATTGTTAGAGCGAGAATTTCATTTCTCTCGTTTTACCCTATCACAGGAGAGATGAGGCGTGCACCTTGTTCCAGATCCCCACGTGGATTACGATCAGAAGGAGCTCTTGATAACGATGCGTGGATAAATAATGCTTCCCAGGAGATTTTTTTCCCCAGGCATTACACATCCATTACACATCTCCCGTTATTATCGCGTGTGGTGTCAGTGGATAGCCATTAAACAGGAGCCATTTTTCTCTATTCTGTTATCGTGATCCCATTACAATGTGATGTGCTCCTTGACAAGTAAAAGTACAACAAGGAAATGGATATTTGGGTGAAACCCATGCCGACACATTAAGACTAAATCAGCCATCCGAACTCCTCAATTCAAATGTTCTTGATAGACTTGATATTGACCTGACAATAGACCTGAAAGAAGTAGTTACCTCTGTTTGGGAGGCGTTACGTTCCCGATACACTCTACTAAGAGTGAAGTTTCGATTTTTCTTCCTGTTCTTATAATTTGTAACTCACCATGGCAGCGTTCTTGGTGGGATTGAGGATGACTCCATGAAGACTTAGGCTACGATCCCGAAGAATCCTCCTCGAAATGAACGGGGAACGCGTCCAGAGGGTCCTCAACTGTGTACAAAATAGCATCGCGTCCACATCTTGACGTTGACACAGAGACTCACATTTGAAATTTGTGGGAAGGGCGTGATATCAATTGATGCCTTATCCAGCCACATATTGCGGAAATACCCGACAGTAATTGCCAGTTTCAAATCATACTCATTTTGAAATCAAATTTTTTTTTTAAATATTGTTTTGCCAGCTTCTTCACTTCAGGATACCTGAAGAGATTACTCATAGCTGGGAGCCAGGGTCAGGAGCGATGAAAAACTAATGAAAAACAACGCGACAATCTGATACAATTCCCAATAATTTTGCATGCTTACATCCAGTGGCGTATTTTAGCACAAGAGTGGGGGGGGGGGGCAGCAGAGCGGGGGCGCTAAACCCTACTCAAGGGATATAGGGATATCAAGGGAGAGAAATTTCTCCAAGAGGCCGCGGGGGGAGGGTTGTGGAGGGGAAGAGGGCCAACCCCACCTCCCCGAAATACGCCAATACGCCACTGCGTACGTCTTACCAAAATTATCTTAGGTTGCATGAAACAGCGAGGAAACCTTGCACGGCAGCAAGGCTTACTCGATCTGGTGCATTATTAAGCACTGCATGCAGGTTTCACCACAGAGTAGAGATATCAGTCAATGCAGAGGGACGACAAAGGATTTTCCCGAATAGCCCAAAACTAAGCGGTCTTCCCAGCTTAATTTCGTTGTGGCTAGATGGTGCAGCGAAATGGTTTTTGCGGCAAGAGCAAGGACCCGTTGCGGAACGTACATTCAAAATGTAATGGGTCCAGCGGATTCCCCTTGCCCGTTTACGTCAGGAAAGTGTTTACGAATTTTTGCAAGTGTAAAAAATTGCTAAAAAATTCGGACATGTCTTGCATCAACTAAACGACACATTGAAAGAGACATGTTTCTCTCGTAAATATGAATCGAAATAAGACATAAAATGCCAGTAAGAGAGTCCAATGGACTCCCCTTGCCCGGATAAGGGTTAAGGACGATGGGACGGCAGAGACCTCCGCCGCGCGTGGGAGGCCGAGAACCAGTCGGCCAAACAGATATGCATGCGAGTGCATGGACGAGATGCCCCAGTCTCCAGGGTGAACTGCCGATACCACTCGCCTTCCCCAGCGGTCAATCACGTTTGCCTTCCCTGCAATTCTACAGGGTCGAGGGAAGGCAGATGCGGGGCATCGCTCAGTTTCTTTTTCAAGCACGAGCGTGCTGCGATGTGGGAGGGTCATTTTCAGCGTACTTTGCGGTTGTTATCTATCTGCAGCGATGTAACGGGAGCGATAAATTGGCGGTGATGCATCTGAGCGGATTATGACCGATCGGGTTTGAGTTGGCACCCGGATTGGAATCTCTGGAGGCGTTCCGATTTGGAGATAATTTTTTTCCATTCATTTCGGAGAAGGGAGAGAATTTTTCCTTTTATTAAGCCTTTTATACGCCGACCGTGCTCTGCAGTCCGTAGTTCATTATTGCACGGCCTGGCCCTCGTCCGAAGATATATCCTCGAAAGGAGAACAGAAAGGGAATTTATTGGGCAATATCTCCGAGGGCATCCGGCCGTATATCAAAGCATATCGGCTCACCCTAATACATTTTTTCCCCTCGCCTTTTTTTGTGCTCACAGAGTTCCTAGAAGGATCGAAGACAATGCCGCCTTCCATGAAAAAGGCGATGGCGACGATCCCGAAGAGTTCGCCCCCGAAATGAACAGGGAACGCGTCCAAATGCGTCCATCAACTGTATAAATCACAAAATTGTTTTTCAATTGATATTTCACATTTAATGAGTAAAATATTATGGTTTATATTTATATTCAATTAAACTACATTTTCTCATCTCCAAGGAAATTGATATTTCTGGCCACTGGCCCCCATTAAAACTGCCACGAAATCATTTTAGAATTGCTGATTCCACAGTGACATACGATGAACCCCAAATGGAACGATCGCAATTGCATACGAATGGAAAGGGGAAGCGCGAGGAGCCCTAATTCCTCAGCGCACCTCTACAGGGTGTGACGAAATAAAGTTTTCCAACTGATGAGTCTCTGCTCCTGCAGCGGTTTCTTCCCCGCAACCTTTGTGGGGGGCTCGCGTGTTCCCTTGCGAAATTCCGTCCAAATGGGTTGTGCCGGGGCACCCTCTTGAGATATTGTTTAAAAAATTTTAATCCTTCAAAATGGACATAAGCCATGTGACATGTCATGGCATGTCACATAGAACATACATTATAAAATCATTCTATTGTCTGAACTTTTATTGTGGGTTTGTTAGGCGCGTTTCCTAGTTGACGGCTGCCAAATCGACAGGCATCCATGCGAGAGCCAGCTCCAAGTTCATTTCGAAAATTTCCCTTGTTTCCATGGGAGAAGGGAGCGGGCGAGGCACATTTTGCCCTGAAAGGGACCGTCCCCCCCCCCCCCCCCCCCCCCCCCCCC